CATTTATTTCAGCCAAGGTCTGCGGATATAAATAAAAGGAAATGTTACTGGAGCATTTAAACTCAGCATCAGCCTTGAGGGCAGTAATGTAACCACATATCACCAAAAGTGCTGAATCTCCCTCTGTCACCACACATGACGTGCAATTCCTCCAAACATATTCACGTTTGTTGCCATTCAGACGGATAAATAATCACAGGGAGGCTCCGGACAGACGACCTCCGCCTCAGCGCCCAGCGTCCGTCACATTTATCCTGCCGCCTCCGCCGCTAAAAATAGACCCCTCCGATTATTCACTTCTTCATCTTTTAGTTTTTTTTTTCCCCCACCGGAAATAACAACAAAGGAGAGTTCTTTTCAAGGGAGTTGCATTTCAATGCAGTTCAACAGGTGGTCCGTAGATGGAGCTCTTCTCATTAGAATATGCATCACATTATGTGACGTCTCTGACTCTCCTTCATGTCCAGCTGTTCAGCTGCAGGAAAACAAACATGTGGCTTTTCTTTCTTTTTTTTTTTTGGGGTGGAGAAGAATTCACATCTCAAAAAGAAAGAACTCCACTGACCATTTTAGCGGCGGCGGCGGCAGCGTTACCTCTGCTTTACTTAACACACCGGACCCCCCTGTGAGCGAGAGTCAAACCACAAACCACTTGGTCCCTGGAGCAGAATGACTTAATTGAGCTATCCTGGGAACAATCTAATTACAATAATGCACACAGGACTGTGTGATATTCCCTCTGCCTCGGCTCCAACACCTATCCCTCACACACACAGACACACACACACACCATCACACACACACACACTCAGGGAGGACGGCAGGAGACGTGATCAGAAGGACGTGATCACCGCTTGTGGACGGGCAAAAACTAAAACAGCCATAAAACATTCCAGGGGAAGATGTTTTAATCACAGCTCACAGACCAGTAAACCTCACAGAGCCGTCAGTGGGTGAGACGAGACGCAGAGGACGGAGACGGGGCGTTCAAGGACCAGTCTGTTTTTTTTTCCTTTTTGGTTCAATTTCTTCTTTCACTTATGTTTTAGGTGAAAGACACACACGGGAAACAGGACACAAACATACCTCACATTAACATCTTACAAAGTAATGTCTAATCTTAATCTTTATCTTTGCTCTAATCTGACCTAAATCCTAATCCTAAATCCAAACTAAATTTTAGAAAATTTACAAAAGTCATGACCAGGATGTCAGTACTGTAGTACTTCACATAAAAATCCTTCCTTCCCTGGTCCCTCAGCCTAACCTAAACTCTTACAAACAAATTGTCCAATCCTAATCCTCACCTAGAGTCTAATCTGACCCTAATCCTAATCCCAACTCCAAACTAAGTGTTAAACTGATTCATTCAGTCTCCACCAGGAGAAAGAGTCCTCACAAAACTGACCTTTTTCATTGTCCTGATTAGTATATAAACACCAGAAAAACACACACACACACACTACTTCACATACACTTCACATTATACACACACACACACACACCCAAACTCTTAGAAATACATTTCTAATCTAAAGGCAAAGGTCTTCACTCTAATCCAGCGGTTCTCAACCTTGGGGTCACGATCCCACGTGGGGTCGCCTGGAATTCAAACGCGGTCACCTCAAATGACGAGTAATTGTATTATTATTATTATATTCTTTTTTAAAGTACTCTGTATTTGCAACACAGTGTAACAAAGATGATCGAAAAGAAAAAAAAAGAAGTTTCTGGGGACGGACCAGAAATTTGTCAAAAGCCAAAAAAGATTTGTATTCACTGCTCTAATCTAATCTAATCTAATCTAATCTAATCTAATCTAATCTAATCTAATCTAATCTAATCTAATCTAATCCTGATTCTAATCCTAACTCCACTGCAAAAGTCTCCACCAGGACAAAGTGTCCTCACAAAACTGGACCACAATAGTAGTTTTTTATCGTCCTGAAAAGTATGTAAAAACCAGGAACACACACACACACACAGACACACACACACACACACAGACACACACAGTCTCACAGAGTCACACACACACAGAGACAGACACAGACAGACAGACAAAGGAAGTCCTGCAGCTGTTCAGGTCATCGACGTCTGTCCAACATCGATTGGTGGAACATTTGTGTTTGTAGCTCAACTGAAAAAAAAAACAAAAACAAAAAAATCGGACGACAGTCGGTTTGTTTCTAGAATCCGACACGCCCACATCTGATGACCGTTACGATCTATAACTGTCAGTCATGGTAACGACCAGGGTCTGTCCTGGTCCCAGGTGAGGAGGAGGTGTACAGCTCCACAGATCAGCGCGGCTCCAAAACTAAACCTCAATCTTTCTCTCAGGGTCAGGGTTCGAACATGTCACCGTTTGTTCGGACGACGCATGCACAGAACACAGGGGGCGCCTTGCCTGCTAAGGACAACGTAAGACAGACAGAATCCTGATTGGCCAGTTTTGCCAAGTTAACCAATCAGGTTGCAGTATTCCTTCACAGTAAACAGTAACGAGGTTGAGTCTTTTTGTTTCAATATTTTAAAGTAATTCACAAAACTGTAGCTCAGAAGGTCTGTGGGTCAGCGGGTCAGGGTTTTGTCATCCTCACAGAAAGCCAGGGTTCACATCCCTGGTAGAGTGCCCACCTCAGTCAGGGTTCACATCCCTGGTAGAGTGCCCTTGGGCAATCTGCACATCATTTCCACAGCCAACTTTTGCCACTTCATGTGCAGATAGCTAGCATAAAAACTTTTGCGAAATAGAGAATATACGTATATATATAAATAAAAAATACATTGATATCAATCATTAATCCAGGATTAATCCACAGCAGCCCTGTCATTAATCAGATTATTTTTTAAATCTTCAGACTCTTTCAACACTGTTAAAAACCAAGTTCACCCTCCGACGCTGAGCGACCCACTTCTCCGCGGCCGCCCGTCTGGGCTGGAACACAGATGTGATTTGTGCACAGTTTTTTTTTTTTTTTTTTATAAAGTCAATATGCATCAGCGTGGCTACGAGCGCCGTTTCTGATTGAGTGCAAGGTCAAAGGGACGCCGGGGAGAGACAGGAAGGGAACTAAGAAGGGGGTTGTGACGCCGCCCAAGGCCAAAGCCGCGCAGACGGACACCGTATTGAAATTTGCAAATGGACCGCACCGTGTCGTTTGCTGCCCCATTTGTGGCCCCTTCTACTTAGCGTGATATACAGAGGCGCCCACCGCAGGAGCAGCACCACGGGAGGAAAAGGCAGCAGGGTGTAGACGCAGGGCGTCCTCCTCCTCCCCCCCCCGCCTCCCCTTGTCCTAAAATGAAATCGGTATAGTCCTATTTATTTACAGCGTGTTTTGCACTCGTCCCATAACACTGTAAATTACCTGCACGCCGCCTGGTCAAGGCTCCCTCCTCAGACAAGGAGAGGAGGAGAGAGGAGGACATAAAACATCTGATCTATGTGATATTTAATTCAGGAATCACATATGATCTGTCAATTTCCATATATCAGACTTTATGAGTCATATTTTAAATACAAAATCAAGTTTATGAATATAAATGTGTGAATTATGAGTGGCCATATGTGTTATATGGTGTACAAAATGTCTATAGGCCCCGGACGCCGCCGCGTCCTCCCGGTATTTATGAGATTTCTATAGAACGTCTCATAAGAGGAGAAGGAACGGGTGACTTCCCTGCTCGCTGCTTGCTTGGACGGTTGGTTGGTTGCGTATCCATTTCTTCCCGTTTCTCACATTCTGCCTCGGTTTCAATCCATCACGTGTTTGGCGTCATCTGAAATTAGAGGAAAAAAGAGAGAAAGGAGTCGGAGTGACGAAGGTGTCGCGGTCGGAGTGTACACGGAGAAAAATCTGTTTCATGATTTGATTTATTAAAAAAAAAAAGATGGAGGTTCAGCTTATAACAATAGAGTGTGTGTGTGTGTGTGTGTGTGTGTGTGTGTGTGGACAGAATTCCATCACGGGAGTGTCTCTGGGGACCAGACCTGGTCTCCAGCTGTAAAAAGACAGGGCTTTTCTCCATTATGGCAAACAAGTGCATTTGCTTTAAGGCCAGTGGAGATTTCTAACCTTTGGCTGACACGTCGAAAAGGTCAGGCCCATCTGTGGCCTCCCTCTGGACTTGATCCTGACCATTTCCTCCCTCCCTGGAAATCCAGGAATACATGAAATCAACCAGGAAACTGTGGCAGCAGAAACACAGAGACGGACGAAGAGTTGGTTCCTTCAAAAATGTCATTCATAAAACAACATAGGGTTAATGGCAAACCTGTGGCTCAGTGGTCAAAACAGGGGTGTCATGTTGGTTCAGGGGCCACATACAGCCTGATTAGATGTCAAGTGGGCCGAAAAAATATTCATATTTAATTCAATATAATTCAATAAAACATCACAAACATGAAGTGGATTTTTTTAAATTCATCAAGCGGACCCGATTTGGCCCGCGAGCCCTATGTTTGACACCTCTGGGTTAAGGGATAAGGTTATCATAGCATTGTTGGTTCGAACCCATAGCCTGACAGGAGCAAGCACCAAATTAATAAAGTACTAAAATATATAGTTAAATAAATATATTTGACTAAAATTCCTCTATTTGTGAAACACAGGAAAATTAAAACAACAAACTTTTTTTGTCAATTTCAAAGAAATAAAAAGCAAAAGAAATTAAACTTTTTTTTATAGAGATGTCCAATAATATAGGCCCGATATTAGCGTAATTATGTAATATCTGTAAGAAGCGTTATCGGTTTTTCCTCCAATAATGAAAATGGAAAAAAAAAAACATAATCCCTGGGTTTCGCCAAATGATGTGTGCCCTAAAAACATTTGGGGATAAACGACTGCATTTTAAAGTAAAACTCACTAGATGGCAGCATTTCAGCCTATTTAATTAATCTCTAATTAATATACAGTGGTTTGTTCAGATAAATAAATAAATATTACCAGCCCTATATCGGTATCAGTTGATATCGGAATTGAAAAATTAAGTAATTGAACAACATTAGCATATCGGATATCGACAAAAAGTTAATATCGGAGATCCAAGTTTTTTTTTTTTATTCCTTGAATTCACTGAATAACTATGTTCACACAAATAAAGAAAAGAAACTGGTGAATAAAACTGGACTCGACGAAAGTGTTCGAGCGTTCTCTGAAAACATCAGGATTACGTCCAATCAACTCACAGATAAGAGCCTCTGATTGGCCGGCCCGGTCCAGAAGCCCCCGGTGTAATTTAGAGGCGTCTCTGAGTCGGCGGTAATAACAGGCATTTTGTGCTAAACACCTGTGAAATATGAGCAAACAGAGGAGTGTGTGTGAGTTTTTCTCCATTTGATGGACGTGGCTGTGATTATCAGTTTTTCTTATCTTTCCTTCATTACCTCCAAAACCACTGGTTAAATTGGAAAAGCCCACGAGAACACGTGAATACATGGCACAGGCAATAAAACACACACACACACACATATATACGTGCATGCGTGTGTGTGTGTGTTCCTGGGTGGAGGCAGATACTCTCAGAAGATAGTTGGAAATACTCCTGCCCCC